GAAAGTTGGAAATTTATAAGTGAAGATAAGTAAAAGCTTTTTTTGATCGATGTTTAAATCAAAATTTAAAATGACAATAACTATTTTACCTGTAATAAAGGGAAAATTCCGGAATCCAGATATCGTTTGAGGAAAGGAAAATTTCAGTAGCGCCATCATAATCATTTGGATTCCATTGCAAAAAATCATCTTTCCAATACTGTAAAAAAAAAAAGAATTTTCAATTTTAATTTATAATTTTAAGATTAATTTTACATTTTCAAATGATAGTATTTGTTTATTTTGCACAAAAATTACATAATTATGTACATAATTATGTAATTTTTTGTCATTAGTTAATGAATAGAAATGATAAATAAGTAAGAGAGAAGAAAAAAAATAAAATTTTGAAAAATAAATCGATAATGAATTAAAATGCCTAAGGCAAATTTGTTGAGAAGCTCTATCGAATAACAAAAAAAAAAAACAAAACAAATAGTGCGTGAAATTAAATTAAGGCAAGATTTTGTGATTTTATAGAAATTTATCAAATTTAAAAAGAATAACTGATAAGTTTGTAATGCTTTGTTTTGAAATTTGTTTTAGAATGTATGAAACGAAGTTTTTTTTTGTTTTTTTTTCTTCTCTAATCTTAATCAATCTCTTAATTAATTACTTTCTTTTCCAATTTTGATTAATTGCATTGTAAGTTTTAGGGGGGGGGGGAAAGGAAGCGAATACAAAGCAATCATTTTGCAATCAAGAATTATCGTAAAAAGTTGAAAAGATAAAGAAAAAAAATTAACAAAAACATGATGTCATTATGATGACAATAATTGAGCATAGTGGAAAATTTTAAAAAAAAAAGTAATCAAATTAAAATTAGGTAAAAAAGTTTTTCAAAGAAATTTCTCGTCATACATTCTGAAGTAATCAAAAAAGAAATAAATAAATAAGGTAATTAATCAAATAACTAATCCATCAGATAGTTAAAGTCGTATAAGAGCTAAAAAAAAGACGTCATTTTTTTTTAACCAAAGTGTGGCCAATTAATTAATGGCAATTAATTAATAAAAGAAAATGGACGAATAAATTTTTAAATCCTAGTTGAATTATAAATTCCAAATTTTGATGCGATTTAAATTAATGATTTAAAGGAAAAGAAAAAAAAACGAAAAAATTTTATTTCATTTGACTGGTTTTGCCAAGTTTTGTAATTCCATGGATGATTGAAACTAATGAACTTTCCAGTATTTTTAAAATTTAAAATTTTTGCAAAATAAAATGAAAAATAAAAGAAAAGAGTAAAAACCTGACAGATATTATGTAATAATATAATACGAATTATATTAGAATTAAAAATAAAATTTAAAAACAATGAAATTTGAAATTTGAAATTAAATTAAACGATTACTGTGCCATTGATAACAGGAAGAAAAATTACTTCTTTGAATTCCCATATTTCTTCGTTTATCGATAAACATCATCGAACAATAATTTATGAACATTATCAAACAACTATCCCTCTTCTCCCCCGCCATCATCTTCCTTCCCTTTCCTTTTCTCTCAGCCCGCCTTACCCGCTCTCCGCATTTTGCCGAACCCCTCCCCCGTTGATCGTTCCCGAACAACAATTGTCATCCAATTTCGTCCATCTCTTTCATTTCATTATCAATTACTTTTCGTAATCATTTTAAATTAACAAGTTTTGATGAAATCAAAAACAATCATATTGATCGAAATTTTATCGATTTAGAACAATCATGATAAATCTATATGATAATTATGTTAATTTAAATTATCAATTTTAAATAATCATTGATAATCTTTAATCATATTAATCTTAGAGCAATCATAATGATTTAAGTCTTAGAACAATCATGATAATCTATGTTTTAGAATAATAATAATAACAATAATAGTAATAATAATAATAATAATAATAATAATAATAATAATAATAATAATAATAATAATAATAATAATAATAATAATAATAATAATAATAATAATAATAATAATAATAATAATAATAATAATAATAATAATAATAATAATAATAATAATAATAATAATAATAATAATAATAATAATAATAATAATAATAATAATAATAATAATAATAATAATAATAATAATAATAATAATAATAATAATAATAA